GGCGAGGATGCCGACGTCGGTGCTCCTGGCTGCGCTGGCAAAACTGCTGACGCCCGAGCGGAGCGCTGTGTTGGCGAGGATGCTGACGTCTGTGCTCCCAGATGTGAGGGCGAGAATGCTTGCGTGGGTGTTCCCCACTGTGCTGGCGAGGATGCTGACAACGGTGGTCCAGGCTGTGATGACGGGGATGGTGGCGTCGGTGCTCGCGGCTGTGCTTGCGAGGATGCTGTCGTCCGAGCTCCCAGATGCCAGGGCGAAGATGCTGGCGTAGATGCTTCTAGCTGTGCTCGCGAGGGTGCTGTCGTCGGCAATCCAGGCTGTACTGACGAGGATGCTGGCGTCGGTGCTCTGGGATGGCGATGAGGATGCCGTCGGTGCTCCTGTTTGCGCTGGCGAGTATGATTGTGTCCATGCTCTCGGCTTTGCAGGCGAGGACGCTGACGTCTGCGCTCCCAGATATGAGGGCGAGGATGCTGGTGTCGGTGCTCCCCGCTGTACTGGCGAGGATGCTGGCGACGGTGGTCCAGGCTGTGCTGCCGGGGATGCTGGCGTCAGCTGTGCTGGCGAGGATGCTGACGTCGGAGCTCCCCACTGCGCTGGCGGGGATGCTGGCGTCGGTGCTGCCAGCAGTGCTCGCGAGGATGCTGCTGGCGTCGGTCATCCAGGCTGTACTGGCGAGGATGCTGGCGTCGGTGCCCTGGGCTGCGATGGCGATGAGGATGGCGTCGGTGCTCCCGACTGCGCTGACGAGGATGCTTGTGTCTGTGCGTTCGGCTTTGCAGGCGAGGATGCGGACGTCCGTGCTGCCACATGCGAGGGCGAGGATGCTGGCGTCAGTGCTCCTAGCTGTATTAGCGAGGGATGCTGGCGACGGTGATCCAGACTGTGCTGACGAGGATGCTGCGTCGGTGCTCTTGGCTGTGCTGGCGGGGATGCTGGCGTCGGTGCTTCGAGCTGTGCTGGCGAAGATCCTGGCGTCGGTGCTCCCGGCTGAGCTGGCGAGGATGCGGACGTCGGTGCTCCGAGCTGTGCTGGCGAGGATGCTGGCGTCGGTCATCTGGGCTGAACTGACGAGGATGCGGGAGTCGTTGCTGTCAGCTGTGCCTGCGAGGATTCTGTCGTCGGTGCTGCTGGCTGCGCTGGAGAAGATGCTGCCGTTAGTGCTCTCGGCTGTGCTGGGATGATGGAGTCGGAGCTCCCCGCTGTGGCAGCGGGGATGCTCCCGACTGCGCTGGCAAGGATGCTTGCGTCCGTGGTTTCGGCTTTGCAGGCGAGGATGCGGACGTCCGTGCTGCCAGATGCGAGGGCGAGGATGCTAGCCGAGATGCTGACGCCAGTCCTTCTGGTTGGGCCCGCGTCGGTGCTCCCGACTGATCCCGACTGTGTTGGCAAGGATGCTAGCGTCGGGGAGCCAGGCTGTGCTGGCGTGGGTGCTGGCGTCGGTGCTCTCGGCTGTGCTGGCGGGGATGCTGGCGTCGGAGCTCCTAGGTGCGCGGGCGAGGATGCTGAAGACGGAATTCCTGGCTGTTCTAGCTGGGATGTTGGGGTCGGGCATCCAGGTTGTGCTGCCGAGTATGCTGGCGTCGGTCTCACTTGAGCTGGCGAGGATGCTGACGCCGGTGCTCCCGGCTGTGCTGGCGAGAATGCTGGCATGGGTGTTTCGAGCTGTGCAGTCGAGGATGCAAGCGCCAGTGGTCCAGGCTGTGCTGACGAGGCTGCTGCGTCGGTGCTCTCGGCTGTGCTGGCGGGGATGCTGGCGTCGGCGGTCTAGGCTGTGTTGACGATGATGCTGCTCTCAGATATGCCAGCGAGGAAGCTGTCGTCAGTGCTCCTGGCTGCGCTGGCGAGGATGCTGGCGTCGGCGTTCCAAGCTGTGCTGACGACGGTGCTGGCGCAGGCTTTTTCCATGAGCAGCGGCAGGACCCGCTTCCATTGCTTTCCTTTCTCGCGCATGCTGGTCTCAGTGCTGTAGCTGATCGCGTTGGACTCCACCACCACCACCCCTGCCAACATCGCCCTCACCCCACGCTGTACCGCGATCCAAGCCAGGTGGCGCGCGCGGCTGGGCCGCAGCGCGTGCCGCAGCGGCCGCCGCCTGGGAGAGAGCGACCGTCGCCGCCCAAAGCCCGGCAGCGGCCAGGCCGCAGCGGCGTCCGCGGCGGCAGAGGCGGCGCCAGCCGCGCCCGCAGCGCTCACGGCGTCAACGGCGACCGCAGCGCCGGCAGCGCCCGCGGCGCACGCGGCGCCAAAAGCGCTGGCGGCGCCCGCGGCGCCCGCGGCGCACGCGGCGCACGCGGCGCACGTGGTATTTGGCGCCCACCGCGCCAGCAGCGCACGTAGCACCCGCGGCGCCCACGGCGCAAGCAGCGCCAGCCGCGCCAGCGATGTCGGCAGCGCGCGTTGTGCCCGCAGCGCTGGCGGCGCCCGCGGCGTCCGCGGCGCCCGCAGCGCCCGCCGCGCCGGCGGCGCACGCGGCACCGGCGGCGCCACCGGCACCCGCAGCGCCCGGCGCCCGCGGCGCACGCGGCGCCCAAGGCGCCCAATGCGCCCAAGGCGCCCGCGACGCCGTCCGCCGTCAGCGCCAGCGGCGCCCCGCCCGCTGCCGCCGCCGTCGCGCCGCCACGGTTTCCATGATGCAACGGCCAGAGCGCGCACCTGTGGCCGGGTCGGGCTCGAGCCGAGACGGCTTGAGCAGAGGTGATACGGAACTCCTCCTCACACACGCCGACAGGGTCGGGGAATTTGTCATGGTCGAGCGATATCGCGACGCTCGCTGAATGCGGGCTGCGCCTGGGCATCCAGTAAAGTTCAGGATCTGCTTCGCGCAGCTAGTCAAGCACAGCGCATGGCAAGCCTCGTCGGGAGTACGCTGGAAATGACAAATGCTTGTTACCTTTCTTGGTAACGCCCCTCGTAGCACCGTAGCCACCGCATCGATTAGCGATCCTTCCTGTGCAAAGCGCGCGTTCCCGCGGCGGTCGTCGTCAGAGATACTGGTGACGCTGCGGGGAGGCGCACGTCGTGGTATCATGCCCGGGGCGAGCGCGCACCCCGGTGAGGCGCCGACGCCAGCGGTCACTTGTGCGCGTGCAGGCAGTCCAGCGAGTGCTGCGGGTAAATTTTGATGCCAGCGGTGCCTGCATGGACGAAATCGCTATAATGCAGGGAAGCCCCGCGGCGGCCGCGGGAACCCCCGCGGCCCTGGGAGGCTGCCCAGCAGCGCCTCCAGCCGAGACCACGTCGCTGCCAGCGCCCTCAGAGGCGAGCGTGGCGGCCCCCTGGGCGGCCTCGGCGGTGGCTGCGTGGACGAAGCCGTCCACGCAGGGAGCGCCCCCACGTCGTGGCGCGCATTCGCGAAAAACTGCTGGCGCCTATGCGCCCACGTGCGTGGAGCGGCTAGCATTAAGTCAGGCGTGTCCCTCTACAGGGGGAATATTCAAAAAATAGTTATATGAAAAAAAAATCGTCGGGGGACGATTGTGTGACTATTTCTGGCTATTTTTGAGTATCTTGGGGTATTCTTCATTTTTCTTTCAAAATCCGCCTGTAGGGGGACATGCCCGACCTAAGGCTAGCACGCCAGATCGTTGCATCATGGCATCGAATGGGGCATTGCTCCACAAGCTGGGTATGAGTCGATACCAGGCTGCATGGGCCGAACGCTCCTCCTGTCCCCGACGGCCCATCCACTCGCCAGCTTCGTATCGCCTTTTCTGTTCTGTATGGTCCACCAGGTCGGGTCGGCTTTGGGATCGCATGCCAGGCCGTTCGGCCAGACCATCGCTGCCCCGCATTGCCGGAAACGACCAGACCTTGCACGTTTGCCCCCGCATGGGCCTCTCGGTTCGACGGCTTGTGACACAAAGCAGGGGGCATCGCAGGTGTGCGAGTCGGCAATCGAAGGAAGCGCGGCCACTCGGGAGGCTCCTCCTCCTCGTCCTCCTCCTCCTCCTCGTCATCCTCGCAGGCCTCGGCCTCCGCTTTTTTCTCACACTCGCAGTATACATCCTCCTCGTATTGTTTCTGCTCCCTCTCAATGATTTGTCCACCTTGCCTACTCCGGCTCCTCCTCGCTCGCGTTTCCGCGATGCCACCTCTGGACTGTATGTGTGTGCGTGTGTGTGTGTGTTAGAAGTCGGCGGGCGGTAGATCTGCCAGCACGTGAGAAAAACAACAGCAACAGCAACAGCAACAACAACAACAGCAGCAGCAGCAACAACAACAGCAACCGCCATGAAGACAGGAGAGGAGAAGGAGGAGAAGGAGGAGAAGGAGGAGGAGGAGGAGGGGAAGGGACGAGGGAAGAGGAGGAGGAGGAGAAGGAGGAGGAGTTACGAGGACAGGAACGACGAGGAAGAGGAGGAGGAGGAGGAGGATGTCCCCACGTGGAGCGTTCAAGAAAGGGCATCATCGAAGGAGTTGCCATCTCTTCCTCGGCGGAAGGCGGCGGAAGTAAAGCATCGGTCTCTCAAGAGATGGCAGCCTGTTTGTTGGTTCAGGGCTGTTTGACCCCGCCTCATGCCTGCAAACACTTTCCACCTCTCCTCTCCTTTCTCTGGCCTGGTTTGTGAAGGGATGTCACACTGCGGTCTCGTTTGCTCCCGAGCGATATCGTCTGGCTTGAGGTTGCGCGTAAGTGCACGATTCGGATTTAACAGCATTGTCTTGGGTGATCTGTGAGATTGTGTGGACTGCGCTGGTAAAGTACAGTGGGAAGAGCGAGATGACGAGCGGAGGGGCAGACAAAGAGCCACGCCGTGAAGGAAGTGGCATTTCTGGTGCGGAATTCCCGTGGGGCTCGTCGGATATCTCTGCCATGTTTTGAAACTCTCGCGTGTCCGTTGTAGCCCTCCGCAGTCATAGAATGGGCATCTTCTGGCGTCTTGGAGATCCCGCGGTGGCAAAGCGGGAGGTTGCCCGACACAGGTCGATGCGATAGTGGCACATAAAAGCCAAGGGGAAGAAGAGGTGGAAAGGAGGAAATGAGGACGGCGGCGCAGGACGTGCGAAGCATGCCAGATGTACTCTTCACCTTGTGCAAGTGGGCGGTCGACAG